CACAAATGACTTTTGGTTAAGTTAGGCCACAGCAAGTAATTTTTATGGATGACATCAGCGCGCGTTAATTTTCGCCTGATTTTGGAAAAAAAATTGTTGCCTTCTGACAGTAGTCAACATGCAGAAAATGGACAAAGATGTCTGTTTTCATACTGGAAGGTGAGTGGCAGATAGGAAGTGAGTGGGACTATGAAGAGAGGAGACAAGAAAAGGCTCTGATTAAATGTTTTGTTTCTTACTTTGATGCAGTGATGTGTGATGCTGGCTGTCTATGTGATGTTCCCATTGAATCAAAACCATTGTACAATGATTGAGTCAAAATTTTGAATTGTAGGAACCTTGTTTTTTTCGGCCCGCCCTGTTTTTTTTCGCCTGCTAGCATTAGATTTGGAGTCTGTGGAGGATTACGGCACACTGGGTGAGGTCATGTAGCCCGGGGCCTTACATAAACCCCGTTCTGTTACTAGTGTTAGCAGCTTTACACCCAACACTGGCGGAACAAAGCTGAACATGTCACGCTGTCGGACACACAGGAGGCACGGTGTGGGATTCGGGGCGTGCATCTTCTTTCCCACCATGTTGTTGACAAATCTATTGTGTGTATGGATTTTTTTCTCATTTAACACAACAGTTTAACGGAAAATGCTATGGTTATGCTATTTGGTGAAATCCTACTCCTTAAAAGTAAAAAAAAAAGAGTTACCAATGGTATACTCATGATAATGATCGGTACCACTCTACGTGTTTGGTCCAATAATTTTTTTTAATCCCAACATTTCATAAGCAAACGTGGCGACATCACACTCAAGTTATATCAACGTATTCTATAGAGTACAAATACAGGACAGGACAATACTCATTTTCACTCGTCAAGTTTGACTCAAATTTAACTCAATCTCGATTCAATTCATATAGAAAGGTCATGCTTGACATAAATCTGGTGAGACTGCTCCCGAACTGCAGCCAACCTTCAGTGGTTGGTTGTTGGTCTGGGGAAGGTGCTGAATATGTGACAAGGGCTTTACATGATTGATAGTCGATAGTATAGTCCTATATTTTTACTTACCTTGTAAAGTAGTCTGTGTTCTTGCTGTCTGTGCAGAAATCTTCGTTGTAAGATGTACAAACAAGATAAAGACGACCATGAAGTTTCGTGCCGCGGCCATTTTGCATAGTGTGCTGTACGTACAAGAAGTGGCGTCTCAACACTTCTGTACCAAACGACACATGAACTCACCGCTACATTCCACCTCACCCACCATACACAGACTGTATGATGACCGATGACGAAATGAAAAACCTTGTCAAACAAAGTCAGAAGGCCTGCATGTTCAGCGCCGCAAACCTGTCTAAACCCGGTTGAGTTCTCTGTTCCGACTGTTGCCACAACAACAAATCTTTTCCCGGACGCGCATGACTGTGTCCTGACTCATCACTTAGATGACGTCATTGCCACGATAACATCTACTGTAGTCAGAACTTCCCAGCGGCTGAAGTCACTTGTTTACTCTATTTTGCCTAGGGAAGGCTCCAACGACTTAAATAACATCAAACCTTGGCCTTGGCAACACAATTGGCAATACATCCAGGTGGTTTCTTCTCCAGGACCTCCAGATAGGTTGGAAACGTGTGCTTAGAACTTTACCTCCACTTTGTTTTTATTCCACTTTATTTTACTGTTCTATGTTAAATGCCTCCGTTACATGAAATTATCGAACAGTGCAACAATGCTTGTCATGTATAAACCGTTTATTTACGGATTGTAACATTTTTTCACCCTCTGAAACTTATAACCTATCGTTGTGCCGTGTATGACTATTGAAAAGTTTCTTCTATATTTGATACAATATCGTTTTGCCATTTCTAGCCATAGAGGCTTGACAATCTTACATGCATGCAAAAAGTGTTCAGTGTAACCGAGCGCATTACGTGACTTACACATAATTATCCGAGAGATCGTGCTTTCTGCCTTCATTTACATGTATATAAAACCTACTTATGTAGTCTTCAAAGCAGCCGCTTGGTGTCGCAGTCGCCAGGGAGCGCTAGGTATTCTTCCAGACGACAATTTCGGGCAGCCGCTATTCATAGCAAGGCTAACATGGCTAATGTGAGGTTTACCGCAACAAAATCATATCATTTCTGGGATATTCAATGTATACATGTAGATAATAAGGAACAGAATGTTCTTTGAAAATGAAAGGGTTATATTAAAATCTAATCATAAGTATAATGATGATGATGGTAATCATTAATCCTTATGATTATGCACGAGTAAATAAAAAATCTAACCTGGAATGCTCTATCCGCCTTCTTAGACTTGAACGTGGGGTTACGGAACGATTTATAATTACTTTTAAGTGTCCAAAATGTCATAGAAATGAATGACAGGGGTTAATTTGTTCCTTACTCCAAACCTTCACAAAATGGATTGTAAAATTACACGTATTACTCAGGAGTTCACCAGGCAGGGCATGTCACAACAAGGACGTTTTGCCTACTCTCCAAGCAGAGGTTTGGGTTTTGGGGGTATTTTAGCGTGTTTTTAGGCTTTTTTTTGTAGGGGTTTCTCTTTTGCACTGAATTTGTTTGGTGGGAAAAAATTCAGTGCAAAAGAGAAACCCCGATAAAAAAAGCCAAAACACGCTAAAAACCCCCAAACCCAAACATCTGCTTGGCGAGTACGTTTTACCGAATGTCCTTGGTCCACAACTACCCCAACCACCGGAAGCCTGACGTACAAAAGTATCACAGAGTAATCTCCAACCAAGCAGATCTTTGGGTGGTTGAATAGTATCAATTGGGTCAGGTCAATGGTTAAAGGCGGCCAATATATAGACTCCCCTTGCCCCATAGAATCTGCTTGGAGATTATCACAGAGCGGAACGCCAACATCAGGTCCGGGTATGTTTACTTTAGCCTCTACCGGGCACCGCGGATCGCTGGAAGAGGGCCTGCAGGGGGGGGTGGGGTGTGGGTGTGTGTGTGCTACAACGCTCTACGCTGAATTCGGAAACCTCTCGATTACGCTTTACGATAAATTCCAAGTGGCTACAACGCATTACGTAGAATTAAAACGGCGAATACTCTCTACGCAAAATGCGCCGTAAAAAAAACGCTCTAAGTTGAATTAGAGCGGTCCGTCTACGCTCTACATAGAATTAAAACGGCCGATTACGCTCTACGGAAAAGGGCTTGC